CATGTATTTTATAAGGCAGGCATTCCAAAGTGTGAACCTTCACAGAAATCCTTTAACTCTTTGCCCAAGTATAAATTTTGGAACCCTGAAGTAAACATACTGCTGTTAGTTTCCCAGAATACATGAAGTCAGGTTCACTCTAAAGTACCTTATGTCTTAAAAAAGTAATGATTGAAGCTAATAATTAGGGTGAAGACAATCACCAATCCACCTTGTTATATATAGCAGTACATATTCTTTGATCAAATACAAGTTACTGGTCTTTTCAGAAAAACTAGTAGAGTATATCTTTCAATATGGATAAAAACGCAATTTGTACTTTATACTTACATCTGTCAAAATCAAAAGCTGGTTGTAAACTGGCACAGAGAAAAGCCTGACAGCTGGAGCACTTGAGCATATCACATTCAACTGTGATCCAGCCATATTTTGCACAGACAAGTGGAGACAGCTCGGGGGGCTTACCTGCCCATTTCAAAGAGTACTCATGTTAAGAAAAACAACATTGCTGGTATATTAAAATGAACAAGTCAGAAATTAAAACTTTAACTCTGCTTTATATATATAGGAATAAACATATTAAATTAAAGGGAAAAGCAATAAGAAAAGTTTAAAAAGCTATTTTTAAAGCACAGGCACATACCTCACAGAATGACGAAGATCATTTTAGTAATAAGCAGAGGGGAAAAAGTTATGAACCTTTTCTCTAGGCAGCCGTATGTATTTTATACGTTAAAATGTTTATTATTGGTTGTGGGGTACAATGTAGAAGACTTTCGCTTTCACTTAATATGAAATACTAGGGATTTAAAAAAATGAGTGAAAGCACTAGGATACGCCTAAGAAGGAAGGGATGGTTAAAGTCAAAGAAAGAGAAATATTTTCCGCCACTCACCAATGCTCTCCTATGCACCACATCCACTTTTACCTTCCAAAGAACTGTCAGTGAAATTAATAATATTCTTCATTAATCCCCCAGCCCAAAGTTTGACTGTTATGTAGTAATGTGTGTGTAGTCTATGTGTTTTAAATAGGCTGAGAGCATCAATAGCATCTATAAGTACATGCTTGGGAAAATGTCCTAAAACATTTACTGATCATTAATGGTCAACACTCAGTTTTTTATATTTTACCTAAAGAGCTCTTATATTATAGAGCACAGAAAAAAAAAACAGATAAAACATGAAAGAAGATGCAGGAAAGTTCTATATTTTTATATACGATATGGGAGTTTGAAAACATTCCAATGTCAGCAAAGGATTGAAGGCTAGAAAAAAGAATTTAGATATAAATATTAAAGGAGATGGGATTATCTAGAATAAAAGTAATAGAATCACTTAAGTTGGTTAAGTTAAATAAATGATTATCATATCCAAAGTGGCGATCAATTTATATCCAATGAGAACAAAAGGAAATGGTTCTAAATACTGTATCAAAATCAGGAATTAGCCCAAGGGACAGCAGTAGAGGATGGTTAAAATATCCTCCCCTTCCTGAACATCTAGTCCTAAAGCCATCAGGCAGTGAGCCAGGAAGAGGACAGCCAGGAGGGTGGGAGGAGGCAGCTCAGTGTGTCAGAACGCAAGTCGGGTAAAGGGGGAGTATGTCAGAACCCAAGTCGGGTAAAGGGGTAGTCCACACAGGGGGGTGGCCCGCCTTGCAGTGTTGGAGCCAGGTGGGGTGTAAAGAGCGTCTACATGGGGCTCCCACTCACCAAATCAGTGACAATTGGAATATCAAAATATATGATGATAGTAACGGATTATAACCCATTGAATAAAAAAGGAAATCATGAGCCCATGCTGCTACAAATAAAGAAATTACATAAAGTTTGATGAGGAATGGGATATTTACATAGTTTCAAAGCACCTCCCCACAAAACAATTTTTAATTACAAAGGAGGAAAGTTAACTTTACAATGGAAAAGACTCACAGCCGCTCCCTTAATCAAGTGGTCAAAGTGATCAACACCAGTCAAGGGATAAATCATGTGCCACCTGACAGGACGCAATGGGAACACAGGATCACTTCTGTGATACTCCTGCATTACCTGAATCTAACCATAAGGAAATAATCAGACAAATGTGAATTGAGGTAAACTCTACAAAATAACTGGCCTGTAATCTTCAGAAGTATCAAGATCATGAAATTCAAGGAAAAACTGAGGATTCTCAACTGGATCCTTTTGCTATAAAGCACATTATTAGGACAACTGATAAAATGATTGGGGTCTGAAGGCTAGATGGTAGTAATTTATTATATGAATTTCCTGACTTTGATGGTTGCATTGTGGTTATGTAGGAGAAAGTCCTCGTTCGTAGGAAATATTTTGGGGCAATGAGACATCACTTTGGCAACTTACTTGCAAGTAGCCAAGAAAGGAAGTTCTTTATAACCTGTGCAACCTTCCTATAAGTCTATAATTGTTTTAAATTCTTTAAAAAAGCACTCCAGTTTGGGCCGGCCCTGTGGCTTGGTGGTTAAGTGCGCGTGCTGCAATGCTGGTGGCCCGGGTTCGGATCCCGGGTGCGCATCGAGGCACCACTTCTCCGTCCATCCTGAGGCCGAGTCCCACATACAGCAACTAGAAGGATGTGCAGCTATGACATACAACTATCTACTGGGGCTTTGGGGGGGGGGGGGAAAAAAAAAAAAAGCACTCCAGTGAGGAGAAAATGGCAAAAGTGATGGAATGTCACTTCCAAGATGAGGATACAAAAAGAGTCTAGCTTCTGTCTTGCTCTCTCTCACTTGCTCACTCTGATGGAAGCCAGCTGCCATGTTGTGAACTGTCCCTATGGAGAGGCCCATGTAGCAAGAAACATAGGGAAGTCTCCAGCCAATAGCCAGTACAGAACTGAAGCCTTCAATCCAATAGCCACGAGGAAATGAATCCTGCCAACAACCACGTGAGTGAGCTTGAAAGTGGATCCTTCCCTAGTTGAGCCCTGAGACACTGCAGCCCCAGCTGACACCTTGACTGCAGTCTGTGAGAGACCCTGAGCCAGAGGACTTAGCTAAGCCGTGCCTGGATTCCTGATCCACACAAACTGTGAGATAATAAGTATTTGGTGTTTTTAAGCCACTAAGTTTTAAGATAACTTGTTATGCAACAAAAGATAACTAACATACAGAGGAAAATCTAGAAAGAGACAGAAGCATAGTATAGTCTCAAAAAACATTAGGTTTGGGTGCCAAGAGCCTTATGGTATAATCCTGGCTCTGCCACTTGCTAGCAGGTTGACCTTGGGCAAGTCACATAACCTACCTGAAATTGTTTCCTCTTATGTAAAATGACTATAATAATACCTATTTTCATAGGCTTAAGGTGAAGATCAAATGTGTTAATATATGTGAAAAAACACTATATATGAAGTTATTTACTATTAAAGTTAGTTATTATTCCTTCTCCTCTCAAGCTCTTAGTTTTTCTTTTGTAAAAAGAAAAGGTTAGGTCATCTCAAATGCCCCTGTGAGGGATAATATTTTATGATGCAAAATTTTCCTATAAAATTTCTTACCGAGTTTAATTCTTACATTCATACATCAGAGTAAGTGGTGTTATTCCTGGAGAAATAACCATTTCTGGAGCAGGTAGAAAGTGCAACTCACATGAATTTTAAAAGGATATAGAAAATGTTTCCACTCTGCTAAAGAAGGCTTCTTTGCTTGTAGATTCCAATGGAGGTTGTTCTGCTTGGGGTGATCCATTAGCTGACTGGAATGTAGCAGTTGTGTCCTTCCTAAAAAAAAGTGGCAGAACTGTTGGTAATCCTTTCATGGCATCACTTTGCCTAAACTTTGTATCTAGCTTCTCTGCACATCATATCACCAATCACACCACACTGGATATTAACCTTTCCAAAAATCATGTCAGTCATATTATTCCTCTGATTAACATTTTCAATGGTTTCACAACATTTACTAAATAGAATCCAAATTCTTCAGTTTGGTATTCAAATCTCTTTATAGTTTGGCCATACCCAAGTTTCAAGCAATTTCTACCTCCACAGTGCTATACTAATCCTATGCTGGCAAACTGTTCTCTCAGCCCGCTCACTGCTCTCCAACAGTATTTTGCATAACTTTAGTAAACACAAAGACTCAATTTGAACCACCTTAGAAATTTAACTCTTTTAATAGAAGAAAAAAACCATTTTGATATTTCCACATGGATCAACCCTTGATATCCACTCCTCCCAAAGAATAATTTGAAAATTCAAATCAAAGTAAAGATCTTTAGGTGATTTCATGAAAAAAATTCAGGGAGAAAAAAACCAGCAAAACAATTCTCTTATTTTCAGTGACAGACATTTCAACAGTGCCTGGGGAGGCGTGGAGGGAGGAATTGATGAAGACAAAAGTCATTTTAATAAAAATAGGATTACACCAACTATTATAACTCAACAGAAATAAATTGAGTCACAGAGAGTCTCAGGGAGGTGTGGTTCTTTGGAAAAAATTCAGAGAATCTATAAACTTGAATGGGAAAAAAATGACATTTACTTTACTAACCTCTAACAGAAATTTAGCATTTTCTTCAATTAAGAATGAAGGTAATAAAAAAAAATAGTAGCGTCTGCAGTATCTGTGAATGTCACCAACGGAAATCACATATATTCTGTCACCACATTATGGTTGCTGCACATGTTTTGAAATACCATTTAGGCTCATCACTACTTCAAAATCATGGTAGATAACAGACCTATTACTACATGTTACTTAACTCTTTAATAATGAAGCACGTTACTGCATCACTTTTTTTCTTTTACTATCTTGATAATTCTATTTCAACGTAATTAGTTTCCTTTAAAATCCTACGTAATTTACTTTATGCACGTAAAAATATTATTCTGACCAGGGTTCATAAGCTTTACCAGGCTACCAAAGGCGTCTACGGCTCAAAAAAGGTTAAGAAACCCAACTACGAGAAGTCAGGTGCGCAGTTCTCTTTTTTTCCTTCCCTCCAAAACCCGTCTTATGGCAAAATTCCGCCCGCGGTGCAGAATCCAGTACTTCCCGAAGAGCTGATTAAAGCCAACTAAGCGTGGTAACTCCAGTCTCTTTCAGATCCCAGAACGAAGCTAACCCCACCGCCCGCAGTCGCCGACCCAAGGGATTCCCCGCAGGCCTGTGCTTCCCCCAAACTCTCTCCAATCTGCGGGGACGCCGGACCCAGGCTGGACTCGCGAACTCACGCTTCGGCGCCTCCCTCCTCCGGGGCAATCCCCTCATCTATCAGCTGCCGGATTTTTTGGGGAGTCCCTTCTGGGGAGCGAACAACTGGACCCCAGTTCTTTTCAACCCCGGCGGCAAACGCAGGCTCTTCACTGGGCGCCGCCATCTTGGTCCGTTGCCCAGTTGCTTCCCAGCGAGTTTGTAGGCTCAGAACTTCCGTTCTGGGCGGTTGAGATCCCCCTCTGGAGGAGGCCTCCGGTGCGTTTGTCCGCGCGACCCGCAGAGTCTGACCGCGGGGCTCATCCTTTCTTGCCCAGCTTAGAACGAGGTAAACCCTCATTTTAGAACGAGGTAAACCACCATGGGAGGGTTCCGGTGTTTAGGATTAAACCTAAATTAATCGTTTCCTTTATGCACGAGCATATTTGGGCTGAAAAGAGGTTTTTAGAGCTGTCTCTCCAAATTCAGCGGAGATGAGGGGCCCAATTTAGTCTTAAAGTAATTAATTCATATGGCCCTCCTAAGTTACATCTTTTTACAAGTGAGGAAATGGCGACCGTCACTTGAGAGTAAATAATTTAGAATCCGTTTTAGAAACTGCGTTACGGGTGAGTTGAGAAGTCTGTGGCTTTTGACGTTACTGAACCCTCCCTCCTTCCTTTGTCCAACAAGTATCTGTTGTGTGCCCCACTGTCGCTGTTCTAGGCGCTGGCAGTGACAGCAGTGAACGAAGAAGACGTGGTTCTTGGTGTGGTTAGACATCAAACAAATACGTTTTCCTATAGGTTTAAAATTATGATTGTAAGTGCTCCAAAGAAGAAGTACCAAGGGTATAAAAGGAGGACCCGATTTAGTCTGCAGATTCTCCGGAGACTGTCAAGTGCTAGAGCTAAAATGGGTGAGACTGTGGGAAAGAGGTCTGCACAAACATCCCAGATTGGAAGCAGTTTGTCTCATAAAATCAACTGAAAAGAAAAACTGTTGTGTCTGAGCAATGGGCAAAGATGAAACTGGGACTCCCCCCGACCCTTCCAGCTCGCTCCCTGTGGGCTCCTAATTCCAGTAACGTTCTCACCCACCAGGACCTTCAACCTATCGATCTAACCACCTTTCCATTGTCCCTAACTCCACCGCCTTGCTTATTTCTTCTCTCTTTAGCGGGCTTAAATTCCTTGCCAATCATTATCATCATTCCTTTGCAAAATTTGAATATGGACTGAGAATTAGTTAATATTAAAGAATTATTGTTAGTTTTGTTATATGTAATAATGGCATTATGATTATGGTTTTTAAAATTCCTTACTTAAAAGAGATACATCTTGAGGTATTTATGGGTGAACTAGTATGATGTCTGGGATTTGCTTTAAAATTCTGGAGGAAAAGAAAATGTGTGGAGGAATAGATGAAAGAAGATTGCAAAGTCTTTTTAATTGTTGGATTTGGGTGATAGACTCATAGGGGTTCATTATATTCTTTCTACTGCTGAGTGTGTTTGACAATGTCATAATAAAAAGCAAAATAAGTAAGCGAAAAATAATACATTCTCTTGAATATCCTCTCAGTTTCCTTGAACCTGTCTTGCTTTTAATAGTATTCATTTGGCAAAACCTCAATCACAGTTGAGTTCACCTCTCCTCCACTCTGCTTCTATACCCACTCAATCGGCTGAGTATGGTTGAAGAAAAATTCACCGACATGCTGATTTGTCTCTATATTCTTTTTTTTCCCCCTGTTGAGGAAGATTAGCCCTGAGCTAACCTCTCTTGCCAGTCTTCCTCTATTTTGTATGTGGGTTGCTGCCACAACATGGCTGCTGATGAGTGGTGTAGGTCTGTGCCTGGGGCCTGGGCCCAGCCCCTGAAGTGGAACGTGCTGAACTTAACCACTATGCCATGGGGCCACCCCCTTTCTCTATATTCTTGACCTCAAGTGGGCCCTTATGCCCAGTGATCATACTACATTTCCCTAGTCCATTTCCTCTCCCACTTTCATAGATGACTATTTTATATCTCTCTCCTCAAACCTTCAGCACCTCCACCTATGCATAGTCCCTGTCTGCTGGTGACCTTGTTTCTCATTTCACTTAAAAAATTAAAGCAACCAGAAAAGAACTTCCACAAATTGCCACCATCACATCTACCCACTAGCATATAGAGTACTGAGAATTTTTTAAGTTCCCGCATTCCCCTGGTTAACAGCCAGAAATCAGAGCCAGTTTTAAGTTCAGTGGATCAATGATAACTCACCCCAGTGAACATGCTTTTGCAAGCCCAATCAATGACAACCCCTTGATTCTGAAAATCAGCCAGTCACAAAGAGACTTACTTCAATAAACACACCTCTGAGTGCCAACCAATCGACAATAGTCTCACACAAGTTATCACTTCTGCAGATGATGTCAACACACGTGGACCTCTGAAAGTTCACCAATCTCTGAACTTCCCCTTTCTCAAAATCCAATGTAGGATTAGCAGTCTGATTTGCTCAAAGCCTGTGCCTGACCAACATGGCTCTCACTGTCTCTAGTGAGCAATAAATTCAGCCTTTTCATTTCATATATTGTGTGGTTATCTCATCATTGTCCGATAGTACTTTACCTTGCCTCCTGTTACTATAGATCAGTGGTTCTCAAATGGGTGCAATTTTGCATCTCAGGAGACATTTGGCAATTTCTGGAGACATTTTTGGTTGTTACAAATGGGGTGGTGGTAGAGGACAGGGATGCTGCTAAGCATCTTACGATGCACAGGACAGGCCCCCCACAACAAAGCGCTATCTCACCTGAAATATCAAAAGTGCAGAGAGTGAGAAATCCTGCTATAGTCTGTGCTCCTGTCTAAGGCCAGCTTTATACACTAGACCTCTTAATAATTCCCTCTTGCCTACTCGAGGACATTGCCTAGTAATTCTCCCCTCTACTGAACGTTCCCATCAGCATCAAGATATTATTTCTCCCATCTTAAAAACAAAACAAAAACCTTCTCTGATTCCAGTTCCTCCTCCAGCTACCACTCCGTTTTTATGCTCTTCTTTACAGCAAAACTCCTTGAAAAAATTACCTATCCTCACTGATTCTAATATCTTCCATCCTCCACTCCCCCCGCCCCTCCCCATCCCCTTTGCTCCAGCTACACTGGCCTCCTTACTACTAGTCCCTGAACATGACAGATATACTCCTGCCTTGGGACATTTGCACTGCCTGTTCCCTCTGCCTGGAAGGCTTTTCCAAATACCCACAGAGCTCACTCCCTCACCTCCTTTAATTCTTTGTGACTTCTTTGTTCAAATGTCACCTTCTCTCTTTTTTTTTAAATTTATTTTATTTAATTTATTTTTTTTTTAATAATTTTATTTATTTATTTTTTCCCCCCAAAGCCCCAGTAGATAGTTGTATGTCATAGCTGCACATCCTTCTAGTTGCTGTATGTGGGACACGGCCTCAGCATGGCCGGAGAAGCAGTGCATCGGCGTGCGCCCGGGATCCCAACCCCGGGCCGCCAGCAGCGGAGCGCGTGCACTTAACCGCTAAGCCATGGGGCCGGCCCCAAATGTCACCTTCTCAATGAGACCTACCCTGACCACTCTCTACAAACTTGCAACTCCCCCTCTCCCCACACAGACACTGGGATTCCTCTTCCATTTACCCTGCTTTGTTGTTCTCTGTAGTGCTTATCTTCTTATAACATAACATATCATTCTCTTATTATGTTTATTTCCATCTCTCCTTGTCCCCATTAGAGTATAATTATAATCTTCACAAGAGCAGTTTTGTCTTTTTTCTTCATTGCTGTATCCCCAGTGTTTACAACAGTGCCTGAAGCAGAGTAGACAACTCAATAGATAGTTGTTCAATGACTGTATGTATACCTTTTAAAGGATTTAGACTTTATCCTAAAAGCCAAAGACAGCCATTGAAAGATTCTAAGCAGCACAGTAGTGTGAATAGTTGTGCATTTTGGGAAAAATCACTCTGAAGACTATGTGAAGAATGGATTGGAGCCAAGACAGGATGTGGAGTGACCATTAGGAAGTTGCTAAAGAAGCCCTTGTAGAAGATGATGAAGATGATGGGATGGAGAAAGCTGGAAGTGGGAAGATTCAGGATATTTTTTGGAGCTTAAAACAACAGGACTTGGTGATGGTTATACATAGCAGGTAAGAGAATCAGTTTCAAGGACTCCAAGATTTTGGCTTGAACAACTATGGATGTATACATGTATGTATATTTACATATATTATATATTTGCATATTTACACACAAATATTTACACGTGTATATGTATATTTGTGTGTGTGTTTGTATGTGGCAGACCTTTTGTCTTTTTTCTGTAATTCCCCAGTGTTTGGCACATAGTAGATGTTTAGAAGATGTCAGTTTTAAGATAGGAATCAATAAATACTTCTGAAATTTCCAATTTTCAAAGAATCACTTGGCAAATGTGATGTGGAAGAGAGTTTTAAAGTCAGAGATGGCCCCTCCTCCCACTCCCATCACTAATCATGTGGGGTCGAATTACCTCTGGTTATGAGATTAAATGGGATCATGTCTATGAAAATGGTTTGCACATAGTAGGTGCTTGGTAACTGCTAATTTTCTTCCTAAGCATTTTAATATAGGTAGTGGAGGCAGTGATGCACCACCTAGGTTTCCCTTCAGGAATGAAGAACTAATTCCACAGCCAGTGGGAGTACCACCAGCAGGAAGCCCTAGCTGTCAGTTCCTTTAGGGGTTAGTTGACTGAAGAGAGCCATTTGCCTTCCCCAGGGCATCCTGCATCCAGAGTCTAATCAAGATGGAGATATAAAAGGCCCAGCCCCCTTGCCCCAACTCAGG